GTTTCTGTTGTAGCAGAATTTTTTCCTCCAACATATATAACATCGAAATACGTCATCCTCACGATAGTATTCACAAAGTCAAGAAGTCATTTGATTACTGTAATCACAAATAATGGAACTTCTTAGTAATCCCATTTGTTTTAGGAGCTCAATTATCACATTTTTAAAATTCGCTGTAAATCAGTCGTACGTGAGCATTAGGTATTGAAATAGGCGCTGTGACCTTGTGATCGCTCAAACGCTTCTGGTTGACTCGTCCATAAATTATAGTCTCACCCGTATTATAATTTTATCCTCTGAGACTCGAACTTACTACCGTTCGATTCGAATGTCATTACATCCCGGAGCGAACATCAACTCTGTAATGCAGGTACATTCAACTGACGAGTCCAAAATAGGACTAAACGCGCTTCAAACTGGATTCCACTGCTAGTCATTATCTTTCTTTGCTTATCAGCATTTCTATGTTGTTTTTCTCTAAATTATTTTCAAGCCAATATCAAAATGATGCGAATGAATTTAATCAGAAATACTATCGCATATACAAAATGTTATGGTTAGTTATTTGAATGCAATATGTTGATTTATTTATTTTAACAAGTAGATATTGGCACAAGGAGACACCAAATACATATGTGCCACACAAATCTCATTTGATATATGTGGGGGCTGTGATATTACCCAGGTGTCCAAACCGAAGAAGGTGGTTTTCACAGGAGGCCACACCCGGAGCCTTCGACCTGGAGGTCTGATCCACAAGGCAGTGGAACATCGTAAGGAGATTCAGTCCCATGGTAGCCGGTGACGAAAGATCGGATCATATGCCATCCGTTCCCTCAGGATACTGGAGCCCATGTGTACTATTGGTTTGAAATCCGGTCAAAGTGCCGGACATTCGCTTTTCGTCCTCTCATTTTCGTAAATAACACCCCCACCAAGAGAAGGCAGTGTGTAGGACTTGTGTGGCAGAAGCTATATGCGCGTGTCCATGTGAGAACATTTCGAGAGGGAGGGCGGACTATCCCTACTCTCGGTCGTACCAGGGCATTTTGGGGGCGAATGCAATATGTATACCTGAATACCTGAATATTTTGTTATATCCATTAACCTCAACATTTTCAACCTCAATAAATTACCTTATCAACCTTGTCTATTATTTTCATGCCTTATCTGAATGTTAATTTCTGACCATAGTTAAACAGAATGCTTTTTCTTATTAGTTTAACATTCTGTAAATGATCTACAATCATATTAACAGTAAATATTCCAAATGAGAAATATCATCTAAGGTATCATATTCGGTAGTATATAATCCATAATATAGTTTTAAAAATTGCGCGTAAATGTTAACAGTCGCTACTTTCACATTTATCGGCTGGTTAGATATGTTTCAAGGTCGTAGGGATATCCACAATTTCGCTCTCAGGATTCGAACACAAGGCCTCAGCAGTGCGCATCCACAGTAGGACGAAACGGCCGTCCAGTGCCTTCAAGTTTTCCATGGTGGTCTAGCTTCAATTGACTCATGATTTCAACTATTGAGATTATTAAAATCTCCACAAAACACCACATAATAATCATCTAATCACTAATGACTGACTGCAAGAGGCATTTCCTGCATTTCTAGTGAGAAGCAATGACTGGTGGAGTTCAACCTGGTCTGTTGTGAGATATCAGCTCATTGAAGACAATGTTGTATGTGTCGTTCGATTTCGTGAATCACTTGAAGTTACACATTGACACCGTTGATTACCGACAAGTTCAGTGGTCTAGAGGTTAAGCGCTCGCGCTTGAGAACTATAGATCCTGTATTCGAATCATGCGAGGCGGGGTCGTAGTTGTGCACTGCTGAGGATTGCCATACTAAGACGAAACAATCATCAAGTGTTTCCAGATTTTCCATGATGGTCTAACTTCAATTGACCCATAATCTCAATTATTAAAAATACTCAAAAATATTTAGTTAAAACATATTGAAACAACATACCTGTAGACTTCATCAATATTTGCTTAAAAATAACTTTTTATTATCATAACAGAGAATTACGCCTTCCTCAAATCAAACTCTGAAGAACTAAAACAAAGTGAGTTTATTATTATTTTTTTCATGGCATGTAAACTAATAATACGTAACTGACTGAGTACGACGATGATTGAATACTACGAAGTACAATAATCTTGTTTTAGTAGGAAATGTTTCTGGAACGTATATCGTCGACGACTTCATCAGGGATTGATCTCAGAAACTTTGAGTTTCACTACGAGAGTTGTTCCGTGGTTGATACTTAAACGATAAATACTTTAAGTAGCTTATATGTTATTGGAAAAAGAATGCATGGTAACCAAAGACTAAATAGAGTAATTCAATTTTTCATCACAATACAAAACTTATGGATTTTGGTGGTGTTTTGTTCTTTGAGCTGGATGGTTTGGTCGTGGAGCCTCCAATCAACTTATAGATGCTAATGAATTCGTCATTAAAATCCAGGAGATGCCATTCATCCTATTTGGAACTGATCAACTGTATTTACGTACATCCACTATTAGACATCATCTATTTCTGTTTAAAATACTCGTGATTTATTGGTAATATCAAGGCAATCAATATAGGGTTCACATATGTCAACAAGTAACTGATCAGTTCTAGACCTAAACATCAATGGGAAGATCCGAAAAAGTAATATATGAATTAATAGTCAATGAACTGTTTCAATGTTCATTGAGATTATGAATCGATCAATGTTGTTAGGCTATTCTAGAAAACGTGGAATCACTGAATGAAAGTTTTATTCTAGTGGGGGACTTCTTAACTATATACATCCACAATGCTTAGAGTAGAACTCAAACTCAGGAATTTCGGTTTTATACAATCATTATTTTTAAACTATCAACTTATATCAGAAGGGATTTTGTGGAGATTTTAAAAATTTCAATAGTTGAAATCATGAGTCAATTGAAGTTAGACCATCATGGAAAATCTGGAAGCACTAGACGGCTGTTTTGTCCTAGGGTGGGACTCTTCAGCTGTGCGCGTCCACGACCCCGCCCACGAGAGATTCGGACACAGGACCTATCAGTCTCGCGAGTGAACGCTTAACCTCTAGACCACTGAACTTGCCCGCATCCAATGGTGTTAATATCAGACTTCAACTAATGCACGAAATTGAACGACACATCCACCATTTTCTTCAATGAGCTGATATCTCACAACAGACTTGGTTGAACTCCACTAGTCACTGCTTCTCACTAGAAATCTAGGAAATGCCTCTTGAAGTCAGTCATTAGTGATTAGATGATTATTATGAGAAGGTGTTTTGTGAAGATTCTAGTAATTTCAATAGATGCACACTACTGAGGAGTCCCACTACTTCATGATTTTCCATGATGGTCTAGTTTGAATTGATTCATGATTTCAAGTATTGATGTCAACTTATAGTGAAATGTTAAGGTTTATTAAGCTCATATTGAAGCATTTTAATTTTTCATATGTAAAGTTTATCTGTGCTCAAATATTCTATACTCAGATTACTGCTGACATGGTAAAGTCAATCTTCTTCTTTTTACATTATGATAATCTACTGATATGTTAATGATGATTATCTTGATTCACAGGGGATAAACAAATAGAAATCCAACATCAGGCATATCAAAACGCCTATATGACATTGTCCAATGAAATGTGTAAGTTAAATAAATCACAAATGATATTTGTTAAACATGTTTTCTAATATTGATTGATCCACTAAATGGTTGCCACTTAACTTGACATTAAGTCAAGTATGTTATGATAATTATCATAGTAATTCACGAAGTTGCGCCACCGTATACCATTGTTATCAGTGAGCTGATATCTCACAACAGACCTGGTTGAACACCACTGGTAACGGCTTCCCACTAGAACTCCAGAAGTATCTCTTGAAGTCAGTCACTAGTGACCAGATGATTATTATCAGAAGGGGTTTGTGGAGATTTTAGAAATTTCACAGATTGAAATCATGATTCAGTTCAAGCTAGACCACCATGGAAACGGCCGTCCAGTGCTTCCAGGTTCTCCATGGTGGTCTAGCTACAACTGACTCATGATTTCAATCTGTTAAACTTTCTAAAATCTCCACAATCCCCTTCTGACAATTATCATAGTAGTCAATATTGGTAAAGAAGATTTGTAGCTCATATGGATGATTTTGATAGAATACTTCACTACTACATAAAGTTTGTGTTGATGTTGTTGTTCAATAGAACAATGAAAGTTTCAAAACCAAACTACCCATCTCAAAGAACAAAACTCCAACTTAGTAAAATCTGAGAATCATACAGTAATTACTTCATTTTTGAAATGTCAATCAATCGTCTCAGAATGTATTGTTATTTCATTTCCCTATCAATCACTCTCCTCGTCCTCTTGTGCATTGTGGAGATTGCTGAGTTAAGATTAATATCATAAGTGAATCAATGTTAGATCGACATTGAAAACCTGGAAGAACTGGACGGCCGTTTTATTCTAGTATGGGAATCGTGAACAGTGCGCATTCACGATCCGGCACGCGAGATTCGAACCCAAGATCTTCGGTTTCATGCGTGATGATTTGTGGATGTACACCGCTCATGAGTTATATACTAGGAGGAAACAAATATCCAGTGCTTTCAGGTTTTCAATAGTGGTCTAACATTAATCCATTCATAATATAAATCGAGAATTATATTTCATAAATTTTATTCTTTGTAGTGATACATTACAAGCTGTTAAGACAACTTGAACGTCAAAGAATAGAGGTACTTGAATGTAAGTTAAAATTGATTTACGATTCGTTATCAATAATTTAATGTTTAAGTGCTGCCTCAAACGGAAAGAATAGCCTTTATCGAGGTCGCGATGCAACAGGAAGGTAATTCTGAATACGATTTTCTTGCTAATATCTTTCTGAAGTAACAAGTTATTTTCTATTTTATAAGTACGAATTTATATGTACATTACATAACAGTATGTAATTCGATTGTATTTACAAACCACCACAACCAAAAACACTACCACCACCAAAACCACGACCATCATCATCATCATCATCATCGTCATCCAAAGCATCATCACCATCATCGTCCAAAGCATCATCATCATCATCCAAAGCATCATCATCATCATCCAAAGCATCATCATCATCATCAAAAGCATCATCATTATCATCATCATCCAAATCATCATCATCATCATCATCATCCAAAGCATCATCACCATCATCATCCAAAGCATCATCATCATCATCAAAAGCATCATCATCATCATCCAAAGCATCATCATCATCATCATCATCATCATTATCATCATCATCATCCAAATCATCATCATCATCATCATCATAATCATCCAAAGCATCATCATCATCATCCAAAGCATCATCTTCATCATCATCCAAAGCATCATCATCATCATCAAAAGCATCATCATCATCATCAAAAGCATCATCATCATCATCCAAAGCATCATCATCATCATCAAAAGCATCATCATTATCATCATCATCCAAATCATCATCATCATCATCATCATCCAAAGCATCATCATCATCATCAAAAGCATCATCATCATCCAAAGCATCATCATCATCATCAAAAGCATCATCATTATCATCATCATCCAAATCATCATCATCATCATCATCATCCAAAGCATCATCACCATCATCATCCAAAGCATCATCATCATCATCAAAAGCATCATCATCATCATCCAAAGCATCATCATCATCATCAAAAGCATCATCATTATCATCATCATCCAAATCATCATCATCATCATCATCATCCAAAGCATCATCACCATCATCATCCAAAGCATCATCATCATCATCAAAAGCATCATCATCATCATCCAAAGCATCATCATCATCATCATCATCATCATTATCATCATCATCATCCAAATCATCATCATCATCATCATCATAATCATCCAAAGCATCATCATCATCATCCAAAGCATCATCTTCATCATCATCCAAAGCATCATCATCATCATCAAAAGCATCATCATTATCATCATCATCCAAAGCATCATCATCATCATCATCATTATCATCATCATCATTATCATCATCATCATCGTCCAAAGCATCATCATCATCATCATCATCATCATCACCATCATGCCTTCTCCTTTTTCTTTTCAGTTGATACAACTTTTCTTTCATTGTAAGTTATTACAATACGTTTTTATGAAACTTTACTTTTCAATTAATCCTATGTAACAATTTCTTGTGATCTGTGTGACATTTTTTATCTTTTTGGAATATGAATTGAATGGAATACTGTTGAACTCTCAATTCTGTAATTTATTTGCCAGAATAATTTTTTACAGTGGAGTATATTATAGGCAATTATGAATACACCTTAGCTTCCAAATGCCTAGGTACGGCCTGGGGCAACGATAGTCAGCTTAGCCTCTCGAAATGACCTGATATTACCACTGTCAAGGAAGTACTACTCACTGACGTCTCGCGGCATTATTGTTGTTTACGAAATTGAGATTGCAAAAAGCGAATGTCCGGAGCTGTAAGCGGGTTCGTAGATATTAAGTATCGACCTAGAGAAGTTGGGAAACCCGATTCCAAACCAATGGTGAGCATGAGCTTCAGGATCCTGGAGGAACATATGGTGTATTACCATCTGTTGGTCAACGGCCACCACATGACTGCATCTACTGACGTCGCTCCATTACCATGTGGACTAGACCTTTATGTCGAAGGCTATGGCTGTGGCCCCCTAGGAAATCCACCTGCTTCTGTCTAAGTACCGAGATAGTATAACTGCTCACACACAAATCAAGTGAATTTTGTGGGGCATATGTATTCGGTGCACCTTTGTACCAATATTTATGTGTTAAAATAAATAAATAAATCTAGAAACATGTTGACATAGAATATATTTAGCTAGTAGTAGGATCATGAATATGTGTTTTGACCTATTTAAGTCTCATCAGCTTCATGCATCTGCCTCTCAGAGTTGATATTCAGGATTAATATTCGTGTATCATAATGGCTATACCGAGGCAATCCGCACTGGATATTCATATTTTAACCAAGATTGATCAAATTTCAGTTGAAATATTAACAACGGAATATTTCAAACTATTTTTTCAAATTGATATAATGAAATATTATGCTTATATTATCTCATTATCCAGCTTACATTCTATCTGAAAATACATCTTAGTCATTCAGGTATTACTGGTACATACTTACTTACGCCCGTTAATCCCAATGGAGAATAGGCCACCGACCAGCATACTCTGACATAATCTGTTCTGGGCCTTCTCTCATAGTTCTATCCGATTGTTGTTCATTCTTCTCATGTCTGTCTCCATTTTTTAGTGCTATGTGTTCTTTGATCTTTCTCTTCTCCTTTGGCCTCGATTATTTCAAGTCATGAGAGCGTGCCTTGCGACACAGTTGAGTGCTTTCCTAAATGTACTTCCTATCCACTTCCGACCCTTCTTCCTGATTTCTTCTTCCACTGACAGCTGGTTTATTCTCTCCAACAGTAGGTTGTTTCTGATAGTGTTTGACCAACGGATACGAAGTATTTTGCCTAGACAACTATTAATAAACACTTTTATCTTCTGGATGATGGCTTTCCTAATTCTCCAGGTTTCAGCCTGATACAGTAGAACTTTCTTGACATTTGTATTGAAAATTCTGACCTTGGCGTTGGTTGACAATTGTTTTGAGTTCCAGATGTTCTTCAGTTTTAAATATTCTGCTCTCGCTTTGTCCAACCGCACCTCAACATCTGCATCAGATCCACCGTATTCATCAATGATGCTTCCCAGATATGTAGAGGTTTTTACGTTTTCCAAAGCTTCTCCATCAAGTGTGACTCGATTGGTACAGGTACATGCTTAAGACAAACCCTATTTCCCTATTTATGTGAAATGATCAATCAGTCAAAGTGATCATTGTCCTTGAATTCACTATTGCTAGAACAAATCAAATTGTATGAATAGTTAGGCATTCTTTGTCGGTATACGTGAATACATTCAAGACTATCTAATTACTGTCTACTCAAGTTGTAACTGTGTTGTTTTATAAGCAAATATTGTAATGTAATAGAATGATTTCTGATTCAATAACGAATAGACATGATCTAGGAAAACATATAATTAATGGAGTTACAATTACTTGTGTTGTCACACACATTTTAATATTCTATATACAGTGACATATTACACAAATATTGACCACCCATACACCAATTGTTCATTTAAAAACTAAAGTGACCGAATTGATTACTGTCTGTATTGTCCTGTAATAGTATTATCTATTACAGGATAGTGGATAATAAGCAAAAAAATGGTAGTTGGCTAGCAATGAAATCCGGTTTGACGAGCATTTTGTCCTGTTTGAGACTCATCACCTGGATGAGTGAGACTATAATTTATGGACGACCTTTGAGTGACATTATTCTGACCTTGAGAGTGTCCACCTTATAACTAGAATCAAATCAGGGTTGTAAATCAGTGTAAGGAATTAGAATTATGATTTACAATTGATGGTTAAGGTTAACAATTAGATATATGGTTTTCATCACGAGCTGGCATCAGCAATAATGCGAAACCTGTATTTAACCAAATGGATGAACGAATTTCGCGCCAAAATCCGAGACCTTTTATCTTTAACCTGATTGGCTCATTCATAAATTATAGTCTCGCCACTGGATGTATCTGGATCCCATAGTTGATGTTCACTCCGGGATGCATATATGACAATAGGAAACTAATCTAATGCATTTTTCAATATCAATGGAATAATTCAAGCAAATCATACAAAATGAATTTACACTAATCGATGATCTTTTAAACACATAGTGTTTCCTGCGAATTAATTTCTGGTTAACGTTTTTCCTTCTGGTGGTTTAGTTTTTTTACGGGATGGGGTCACTAACCCTATGCCTAACCTTCCTCCTTTATCCGGGCTTAGGATTAACAGTGGCCCCAGAGAAGGCTTCAGGTGGAGTTTGTTTTCTGTGACATTTTACTTACTAAACAAGTTGAATATTCATCATCATATTATTGGATACTTATCAGAAGAAGCTTTGTGGAGATTTTAGAAATTTCAATAGTTGGAATCACGAGTCAATTGAAGCTAGACCACTATGGACAGCCTGGAAGCACTGGACGGCTGTTTCTTCCTAGTATGGGACTCCTCAGCAGTTCGCATCCTCGATCTCGCATTCCGCGAGATCCGAACTCAGGACCTAACAGTCTCGCGCCAGGAGCCTAACCAATTAGACCACTGAACCTGCTCTCAATGGTGCGTGGTCGTGGATGAGCACTGCTGAGGAGTCTCATACCAGGACGAAACGGCCGTCCAGTGCTTCAAGGTTTTCCATGATGGTCTGATTTCAACTGACTCATGATTTCGATCAGTGAAATGGATACTTACTCTATTCGTTTGTCTTCTTTTTTTAGAGTGGAAACCAGAATGAACAAATGAAAACAGTCTCAAATTTTTTCATTAAAGTATATGTATTCTATAAAGTGCATATTTCATTACAAAGCATGAATAAATAGATTGTTAGATTATGCTTGATTTTGTTTAAATGAACTGTTGCTATCGCAATAGTGTTGTGTATTGTTAGCTTGATATAAAAACGAATCAAATGATGAAATTACTTTAATAATTATATTCATAAGTTGATATATGCTAGAGCATCATTGGAAACCTGAAAACACTGGATAACCGTTTCGTCCTTGCATGGGACTCCTCAACAGTGTGCATCCACGATCTTATATGCGAGACTTAAACCCAGAACCTTTGATATCGTATTCGAGCGCTTAATCTCTAGATCACTGAGCTGGTATACAACAGTGTTAATGCCTAATAGAAGGTTTAACATTATATCTAATTATAAAATTACATGTAAATTACAATTCTGATAGTATACCGATGACAAGGTATGCAGTTGAATTAACTTTAGCACATGAAGTTTAGGTTTTTGTTTATATTTCTGGAGGAATTTATCGGTACATCTAAATCATACTATAATTAGTAAGCTTTAGTTTAATCAGGATAATGAGTCTCTATCGTCTAAATAGTTCATTTGTACTTACTATATAACTTCTTATTTAGTTACTGTTCTGTTTCTTTAGGCAAATGAATCAGTATTCATTAACCATTCAAAAGTTCAAATATCATATTGATAACCATGAGTTTATAACAGCTTTCAAATGTAAAATATTATGATTTGATCTTCTATTGATCTGTTTACTTGAATACATAGTCATTGATACAAGGGGACACCAATGTATACATATATTTACTTACTTACTTACCTACGACTGTTAACCCTCATCGAGGAGTATAGGCCACTCATCAGCATTTCACATCCAAACCTGTCATGGGCGATCCCTCACAGTTCTTTCTAGTTATTATTCATCCTTTTCATACCTGTTTCCGATTCTCAAAGGAGTGCGTTCTTTGGTCTTCCACTTTTCCACTTTCGCTCAGGATTCCAAATTAGCACTTGCTTCGTGATGCAGTTTGATGATTTGCGTAATGTATGTCCTATCCACTTCCAATATCTTTCCTAATTTCCTTCTCAACTGCAAGCTGGTTTGTTCTCTCTCACAGTAGATTGTGGTTGATGGTATCTAGTCAATGTATGTCGAGTATCTTGAGTAGACAACTATTTATAAATACTTGTACATGGTTGATGATGGTTGTAGTAGTTCTCCACGTTTCAGCTCCGTGCAATAGAATTATCCGTCTTGAAGTTCGTATTGAAGATTGTGACTTTGATATTGATTGACAGATGTTTTGAGTTCCAAATATTATTCTATTGTAGGAATGTGACACTCGCTTTGCCAATCCTCTCCTTTACATCTCTATCGGATCATCCTTGTTCATCAATGATGCTTCCCAGATATGTGAACGTTTCCACGTCTATGAGAGTTTCTCCAAGTGTAATTGTGTTGGTGTTTTGCATGTTGTATTTTGAAATCTTACTTTTTTCTTTAAGTCTGCTAAGGCCTACTAATGCAGAGTCTGCTAATACACCAGTTTTCTTCATCTGTATAACATAGAAAGGTCACGTCGTCTGTAATATCCAAATCGTCTAGTTACATCCAACTTGTCTATTATATTCCATGCTTAATGTCAAATATGGAGGTTTTCATAATCCAGTCGACCACAAGAAGAAAGAGAAAAGTGTGCGGGGAGGGGGGGGTAAGTATAGATAGCCTTGTTTGATTCCGATCCAAATCAATGTTAGACAGAAGTCAACTTGACTAACATTGTAACATGACTTTATCATATATCGTCCATTCTATTCTTATTTGAATACTATCATTATGATAATGTTTATGTTGATTCATTCAAGTTCATACACTTCATCTTATCGCTTGAGTAAATGGATTTTAATACCATAGTTTGTAAACAGTTATTTCACTTCAATTCAGCTTTACAATACTGACAGCCAGTAGTAATATGAACTGATTCTGTACTTATGAATATTAATTGGAATAGAGAGTGTGAGAGAGAACGCATATTTTCTAGATTATGTATCATAATTGTATTAGACAAATGATCCTTTACTCATCAACATCATGTATCTCTAATCCTTTTCGGTTATTCGAGTACTATAAATTCAGTAGTAATATGATCACTAGTTTAACTAATGAGGATACCTTGTACAATACAGTGAGAAATCGATTAGTTTATAGTGAATAACAAGAAAGTTTAGTATCATGTTCTGAGTTATTCAATTGTCATTAGTAAGGTGTACCTATATTCGTAAGGTACTTATAGACCTAGGACTGAACTGATCAACAAGCACCATTTCACTCAACATTAATAAAAAAACATTGATCCAAAGTTCAACATAAACTATTTTCAACCAACTAACAAACTTGTAATTTACTTATAATAGTTATGAAACAATATTAAGAATCTGTTAAAGGTTATAGAACATATATTCTAGAATGATCTAAAAACACAGCAGTAACCATTTGGTAACAAGTACTTCACAACAAGTAATCATAATAAGTGTTACATTCTATACTATTTACTAGTAGATTTTAGTCATCATGTTTGTTAGAAAAGTTATTAGTAGTTACAATTGATTGATCACTGGGTGGTGATCAATTTCATGCTTGTCTAGTCCTTATTAGTGCGGATCGAATGCTATCGATCATGTTGCAATGTGGCAACCAGTCTAGGTGACTCGACACTGCGGGCACTATGTATTGAGATTTAGATGGTGGTTGGAGGTAGTCAACAGGAAACTCTGGACCCGGGTTTCGTGCTACTTGGCACTCGTCAGCAAGGTGTACCTGTAATCTTGAGGGAACTGGTGCTACCTGGCGGATTCGATCTTGTGTCACCCAGCTTCACAGTTATTAGTAGTATTTGTTAATAGTATATATCAGTAATATCTAATAGTAGTATGTATGTAATGATACTTATTTATTAGTTCTGCATACTGATGGTATTCATTCGTAGTATTTGTATGTATTCTTTTATTAGTAGTATATACTACTAGTTAGTTATCAGTAGTATTGATCTAGTACTATTTACTAACTAATTACATTCATCAATATTTATTTACTAGCCTGAAGTTTGTGGTGATAATGAAAGCTCCACGACTAAAGCATCCAGCTCAGGGAACAAAACTTTATCAAAAGTATTTATTAGTACTTACATACCTATTTTGACCTGTTATTCCCAATGGATAATAGGTCACTGACTAGCATTCTCCAACCCAATCTGTCCTGGGTCTTCCCTCATAGTTCTATCCGATTGTTGTTCATTCTTCTCATGTCTGTCTCCATTTCTCGGCGTATTATGTTCTTCTTTGATCTTACTCTTCTCCTTTAGCCTTGAGAATTACAAGTGTGAGCTTGCCTTGTGATGTAATTAGGTGCTTGCCTCAATGTATGTTCTACTCACTTTTAGTACTTCTTCCTAATGTCTCTCTCTGTTGGGATCTGGTTTGTTCTCTTCCATAGTAGATTTTCTGCTGATAGTGTTTGGCCGACGGATCCGAAGTATTTTGCATAGGCAACTGTTAATAGACACCTGTATACTCTGAATGATAACTATCGTAGTTCTCCAAGTTTCCACCCCACACAGTAGTAGTATCTATAAATGCTACCAATTCATAGTTTTTACACTAAAGTAATTACTTATCAATAGTACTCATTAGTATCTATTTACTAGTAGTATTAATAGATATTTACATTCTGTGTTATTCTTTGTAAATTCTGTCGTTTTATCAGTATTGTTTGTCAGTTTTATTTTTCTGTATTTTTTTCTGGAAGTTTTTTTAAAAATAATTCCCTTTATTCATAAGTAAAGATGGATAATGGCTAGCACTGGAATTTAGGACATATGTTTCGTCTTATTTGGGGACTCGTCATCTGGGTGTACTTACATCTCAGAGTTGATGTTCACTTCGGGACTTGATTCCAGTACTAGTTGCTTCAAACGTCATCGCCTTATTCACTTAGTTACTGACAAGCCTCAAATAGGGTGAAACTCATGCCCTGGATTCCACTGCTAACCACTATCCATCTTCGCTTATAACAACTTGTGAATTAAGGCAATATCGAGGCAATACGTAGAGTATGCACATATGTCAATAAGAGACTGATCAATTGTAGTCCTAAATATCAATGGGAAGATTCAAATAAACAATATCAAGTGGGAAAGGGTTTTGTGGAGATTTTAGTAATGTCAATTATAGAAATCATGAGTCAAGTAAAGCTAGACCATCATGGAAAACATAGTAGCACTGGATGGCCGTTTCATCGCAGTATTCGACTCCTCAGCAGTGCGTTTCCACGATTCCGCCTCTCAAGATTTGAGCCTAGGATCAAGACCTTCCAGTGCTTTCAGTTTTTCTATGGTGGTCTAGCTTCATTTAACTCATGATCTCAACTATGAAAATTACTTTTTCTGTTGGATATATTTCACTACTTATAAGTAGCTCAATATTTAAATCTAAATTCATTCAAAATTCACTTGGTGTTGTTTTACTTGTATCTTCCTATTGTTGTTTAAGATTGCAATTGATCAGTCTCTTATTGGCATATGTACATCCTCTACAGATTGCCTCGATATTATCCTAAGTCACAAGCAAGTCATAAGCAAAGATGGATAGTGACCACCAGTGAAATCTAGTTTGATGCATGTTTCGTCCTATCTGGGACTCGTCGTCAGTTAGATGTACCTACCTACATCCCGTAGTTGATAATCACTCCGGGACTCGAACCCAGTACCATTCATTCACTCAATTATTATTATTTTTATTATTGCAATTAGTATATCCTTTTGATACGGTTTAAAACAACACAATGACCAAAACATCAAAGAAATAATACATTTCTCTTCATAAAATGGACAATAGTAAACTTGATTAGATCATGGAAATTCCAGGAAAAACAAACAAATGGAGACCATCGTTTTGTACTTTTTTTAAAAAGTTCATAAAGTTGATTGAGTTATTCATTAAATGAATTGAATACTGTTTGTAAATTTTGAGAATGTAGTCAACATTTTCATTTGTGTTTAATATAATAAATAGGTAAGATGAATGAGTTCATTATCTTTGAAGTATTTTGAATTAATAGAATGCTCTACGAAGTTCTGCAACATTCTTAAGTATATAATTATGACTTGTACGTAGATTACTACTATGTGATACTTCAACCCATTTACATTGTTCTTCTGTACCAGGTTCATTGAGTAACTATGGGAAAAGAACAAAGAAAAAAAATATTTTTGATTAAGATCATGAATCGATTGATGTTAGCCTCCAAATGCCCTGGTACGGCCGAGAGTGGGAAGAGTCCGCTCTCGTTCTACAAATTCTCTCACATGGCCACGTGTACATAGCCTCTGATAGGGAAGTCCTACTCACTGCCTTCTCACACCACGGGTGTTGTTTACGAAATCAAGAGGATGAAAAGCGAATGTGTGGTGCTTTAACAGAGTTGATGGACATGGAGAGTCCACCTAGGGTAGCTGGAAAATCCTGATTCCAAACCAATAGCGCACATATGCTCCAGTATCCTGAAGGAACAAATGAAGTATGAACCAATCGTTGATCACCAGCTACCATGGGAATGCACCTCCCTACGTTGCTCCACTGCCTTGTGGATCAGACGTTCAGGTCGAAGGCTCGGGGTATGGCCCCCTAAGAAAACCACCTGTTTCGGTCTGGGCACCCGGGCAGTATCATAGCCCTCACACCTATCAAATGAGATTTGTGTGGCGCATATGTATTTGGTGCCTTTTGTACCAATATCTGTGTTAAAATAAAATAAATAAATAAATAAAGATCACCATTGAAAAACTTGGAAGTACTACACAGCCGTTTTGTCCTATTATGCGACTCTTCTGCAGTGGACATCCATGATCCCGTTCCGTGGGATTCCAACCCAAGACCGGTTGGTCTCGCACACGGACGCTTAACCTCCAGGCGATTGAGCTGGCATCCAACGGTGTTAATGTCTTACCTCAACCAATCTACGGAATTGAGCGACCATCTTTCATTTTACTGAGGTAGATACCTATCTCTACTCGACACGGATTGAAGATGCGGTTGATGCCTCATTCACTGATATACCGCAAGATTTAAAGATCCTAGCCAAAACAGCCTGTTGTCTTATGTGGTACAATGTTTTGACAATAAAAGCATCAACATGTAGTTTAGAGTGTGGTTTCAGCGGACCAGGAATAACATTTCGTGAACTCAAATCATTAACATTGATGGTTCGTGATAATAAAGCTGTGAGAAGGTGTATGTATCGGGATACAGAAGATATTAAGAGATTAGAGAGGAATTTGATCGTCAACAAGACGATCTTGGATGTTGTTATAAGTACGATGAAAGTTGTCTTTTTCGGGCTGCTCGCACAACCTATTACATTGATCTGATATACTTCATCATCTCATTGAATGGTCTCAACTCATAAAAGGGACAAATTATTTTGAATTTTTTTATTGAGATCATGAATCGACTGATTTTAGACCATCATTGGACTGCCGTTTCGTCCTAGTATGGGACTCCTCAAGAGTACGCATTCACGATCCCGGGATTCAAATCCAGGACCCGTCGTTATCTCGTGCGAACGCGAAAATATTCAATGATGAACATAGGTTAATGCCAAACTAATTGAATTTATAAACTAGGAATAGAAATATCCAGGATGAGGAGAGTCCTTTATCTCTCTCCAAACGCTCTCATATGGTCACCTATATACAGCTACTATCATGGAAGTCCTAATCATTACCTTCGAACCAGGCGTGTTTTTACTAAATTGAGAGGACGAAAAGTGAATGTCCAGTACTTTAACCACGTTGGTGGATATGGAGGATCCACCAACTGAAGATAGTTGAGAAACCCTGATTCAAAACCGATGGTGTACATGGCCTCCGCGATCCTGAGGGAACAAATGGCTCATAAACCTATTGTTGCCTACTGGCTATCATGAAATCACAGCTCTTAACGTTTCTCCATTGCTTTATGGATAAGAACTGTAGGCCAAAGGTTCGAGAAATGATCCCTCCCCCCCCTTTAAGTGTGTTGTTTTTATGTTGAATAGATTTTTTTTGTTTCAAAAGAAAAATCCAATTATAATATAACTTACCTTTAATACGTCATCTGGTAGTTGAGCTCCTTTACTCTCAGATTCATGTAAATTAATCACAACAGTTTCCATCCATGCACTATCCGCATTTAACTGATCATCTAAGTAACCTTTGAAAATCTAAAAAAAAGTTACATAAAAGAGAAATACTTTGAATTTGATTGAACACTTAACAGACATATAAGAGACTATTTAAAATGTATTTCCAATATAGTTCATTGGGAAAGGATGGCTTAGCATGATAAGATGTAATCAAGGTGGGATCATAGAAACAGAAATAAACCATTTGGGGGTAGAATGTTTAAGGAGAAGATGAAAGGGGAAGCAGACGGCTATAAAAGAAGAAGAGTATGAAGAAAAAAATTATAACATATTAAAACCATGATAGAAGAAGAGGTTGTACCAGTCTCTTTTGTACACATAATTCTGGTTTTTCAAAATGTATGGCTATTGCCTCTGCAATGCAAAGAAGATGCAGTCTAATTGTCTTTGGAAGCCTTCTACTTACCTTGTAGATGACTTTGAACGCAGAGTTTGTTTTGATTGAATGACCTGTTTTCATAAGGTGTTCGATTATTGGACTTCTTATTAAACCGTTTCCACCTCTTCTTAGTCACTCCGGTTAATGTTCTAGAATGCTTTTGGATAAATTATGCATCGAACGACCTATATACCTGGCTATATATGAGAAGGTACATTGATAAATGCACATTGAGTTGGTCACATGACGTAATTTATCCTTAAGATTATTGATGAACAATGATCAACTGAAGAATACTATTCGCAATGTTGCTGTTAAGAACGGTCATTTTAAAGAATCAGAAATTCTACTGTTTAAGACGTATGTGGCTCTGTCACTATTAACATCACTGTTCATGTATAATGTTTTCTTTCCGACTGATGTTATTTGTGTTTTCAGCAGTTTCAGTTTCGGATCAGGCACATACATGCATCGGTCCAAGTTGCCATACCGCATTAGCACAACAAGATGAACACCGAATTTATAGAAGTAGTTAATTCAGTGGTGGTAATATATATAAGAAAGATTTTGCATATAAGGATATAATACAAGATGAAAGAATTAGTTCGTAGAAGGAAAAGTATAAAGTAATTTTAATCTCATGGTTTAAACGAAAACAAAGAGTGTATACACCTACACCATTGTGATAATTCTGAACTATGTTAACCAGAGTCTCCAACCATTGGTTACGATAGTCGGGTAGACCGAAACCAAGTAGTCTGCATCTACCAACATAGCTAAGACCAGAAATTAGTGACTTCAAAGACTGATGCCATGTTCTGATTTGGCCATCCCTAACTTTCTTCCAACCATCCACAACACTAGTCATATTATTATTACGTAATAGTTATTGAATTTATAGAATAAGACTATTAAGATGAAGCTTGTTAATACACTCTCCATTGATTATAAGAGATATTCACCTTCTGGAGGAATTAAACTTATTAACCAAACTTATATGATCGGTAGTTGTGTATTACAAAAACGTTTGTAGTGAAGGAAGACATGGAGGGGGGTTGGAAACTCATTGAGTTGTCCTTTACATAATTCATCATCCTGTTGTTATTTCGATTTCTCTGCAATTTTCTTCTTGTTCTATTCATTACAGTCATCTCTATCTTCTTTTGATAGGCATTTCACTTTCGACTGTTGCTACATACTACTTATATCTGTAAGCATAAGTAGCATACACTACAGGTTTTCTACCACTCTAACAAGAGTTAGTACTTACTTACTTACGCCTGTTACCACTTGTATAGGAGTAAAGGCCGATGGTTAAAGACCCTGAATGGCATGGCTGAAATCGTTTGCAATGGAGTAGGTGCATACACTCCTTGTGTTCTACCAAATTTTGATCTCCTTATTCCTCCTTGTCTCTTTTTTTTCTCTTCCCAAATTTATTTCACTGTATTATACTCTTTAAATAACATCTCCAAATACTAAATTTCCCGATTACTGCTTATACATTTATTATCTCTACCACTATGGGATTTGAATCGACCACTGTATCTCTGTGTTAACGTGGTGTCGCAACTCGAACTGATGTACGTACTTACGAAGTTCTACGTTTACTGACTGACTGACTGATAGGCCACTCATCAGCATTTTACATCCAAACCTGTCATGGGTAATCCCTCCCAGTTATTTCTAGTTGTTATTCATCCTTTTCATACCTGCTTCCGATTCTCGTTGGAGTGTGTTCTTTGGTCCTCCACTTTTTCACTTTCGCTCACGATTCCATATTAGGGCTTGTTTCATGATGCAGTTTGATGATTTTCGTAATGTATGTCCTATCCACTTCCAATATCTTTCCTAATTTCCTTCTCAACTTGAAGCTGGTTTATCCTCTCCCACAGTAGATTTTTGCTGATGGTAGCCGGTCAACAGACATTGAGTATCTTACGTAGACAATTATTTATAAATACTTGTACCTTCTTGGTGGTGGTTGTAGTAGTTCTCCACGTTTCAGTTCCGTATAAAAGAATTAAATGTCTTGACGTTTGTATTGAAGATTGTGACTTTGATTTTGGTCTGCAGCTGTTTTGAGTTTCATATATTCTTCACTTGAGGCCCATACTTTGCCAATCCTCGCCTTCGCGTCTGCATTGGATCCTCCTTGTTCATCAATGATGCTTCCTAGATTCGTGAAACTTTTCACTTCTTCCAGAGTTTTTTATCACGTGTGATTGTGTTGGTGTTCTCCGTGTTGTATTGGAGGACCTTGCTGTTTCCTTTGTGTATGTTGAGGCTTACTGCTGTAGACTGAAGCTGCTTCTGAACCGGATGTCTCTACCTGGATTTGTTTGTGTGTATGGAATAAAACAGCTAGGTCGTCTGTGAAGTCCAGGTCTTCTAATTGATTACGATTTGTCTATTGTATTTCGTGCTTCTCCCCAAATATCAAAGTCATCATAATCCAATCAACCATTAGAAGAAAGAGAAACGGGGAGCGTAAGCAGCCATGACTGAATCCGGTCCTCACTTGGAATGTGCCTGTCAGTTGTCCTCCATGCATGACTTTGCAGTTGTATGAATTCCGGATGATTTTGACGATCTTCTCAGGCAAACCATAATGTGAAATGTAACGGTCGATTGACAATATCTTAGTCAGTTGAATTTGAACATATAGAAACAGTTTCATGTTTATTTTGAACGATCAAATTTCAAATTCGATATGCAGATAGTAACTTCTATTACGATCCTATTCTTATTCTAATCACCACATATAGTGTTTGTTAATCATCAGAATTGGATAATACTATAATTCAATTTACTTCATCTTCATATACGTACCGACCTGAGCATGTTTGATTGCCAGACTGACTGATTAAGATTGTAGAATTTTTGTAGTTGAAATCATGGACTAATCTTAGCTAAACCTCCATGTCTAAGGTGAGACAGTTATGCCGAGTAAGCAATCGATGGCAATCATACAATATCGCGAATTTGTAGCGGTATTTACCATGTTAAACTCATATAACTTATTCTATCTTCTGGATAGGTCCATTTATCTATCCTTCTTGAGTTACGTTTTGACCTTGTTAACTATTCCTTTATCAACGTTGACTGTTTTTATATGAGCGTATGTGTGTACATGTCTTATCTTATTCATCACATGTCTGTAACTTATTTTCGTCTGATTCACGCTTGATTAAATTGAGTTGGCTTACGCGCATTCACCACTGCGCGTTATTTCGTTTCGCTTCGCTCTCATTTCTTCGCTTCCTTCGCTATGTCTCTCTGACAGTCTGTTCCTATCAACGAGTGTACAAAATATACGCATTTAAAAATCCATTCTCGTATTTGGCTTATTTTAATTCCGTTATTCATTAACACCAGTTAAGTTGATGATTACATACGAGGATTACTTACTTACTTACTTACTTACTTACGCCTGTTACTCCTAATGGAGCATAGGCCGCCGACCAGCATTCTCCAATCAATTCTGTCCTAGGCCTTCTTTTCTAATTCTATCTAATTCATGTCCATTTTTCTCGTGTCTATCTCCATTTCTTGGCGTATTGTGTTCTACTTTGGTCTTCCTCTTTTTCTTTGACCTTAAGGATTCCATGTGAGGGCTTGTCTTGTGACACAGTTGGGTGCTTTCCTCAATGTGTGTCCTATCCGCCTGGAGTCCCTCCGGAGGCCACTGCCGGTCGCAAGCTCGGATAAAGGAAGAGGGTTGGGCATGGGGTTAGCGACCCCATCCTGTAGAAAACTAACTCACTAAAAAGACGCTAACCAGAAAAAATTATTCGAAACTTTTAAACTTTGCCGTGGGAGTCAGAAGGTCTTCATTTAGAAGAACTATGACGCCTCATGATGAAAGCCGAGTTCCTTCGGAAGTCACGAGGCCGATGCCCCTTCTGACAACCAGAGCAACCATTTATTTAGGTACATACGAGGATTAGCGACATATATATCTCAATAGCAATTAGAAACGATCCAACTGTGGTCAGATATAGGATCATTAAAAGTGGTGAGCTCTACTACGGATTCAACTCAGCAAATTAATGTTAGGTAATAACACCGTTGTGTTCTGGCTTAGTGATTTGGAGATTAGTTTGCGCGCGAGACTGAAAGTCCTATGCTTGATTCCTATGTGCGAGGTCGTAGATGATCATTGTTGACTTGTCCTATATCAAGATGAGCATTCTATTCAGTACTTCTAGGTTTTCAATGATATTAAGACTGAGATCACTACAACAAAACTACCCTGAAAATCATGAGGATTTCACAATCCAAGAGAGTTTGGTTAGTAAAATGCACGAAATACATTGTTTACATATGTATTGTAGTTGGAAGACACCATATTATAAAGAAAAGAAATCATTCTATTCATTACCTGTGTAACTTCAGCCTTTTCAATACGTTTCAATAATCTTTCAACTCTTTTCTCTGGAAGTATAGCACGTCCTCGACGAGTCACTAAACTGCTTATAATCTTTGGTACACATTCATCAAAATCACATTTGTTTGTATGATCTGTTAAATACTGAAATAATAAGAAGAAGAAAAGAAATGATCAACAACATCGAATGATGATTAGTCATACTGTTATAACATCTCTCTGTATAATAATTGATACCAATGAAAACAGAACTATGTTTCCACCGTTGTAAACCTGGTGGTGATCTAACATCAATCGATTCATGATCTCAATCTAAAAACTTAATAATCTCCGCAATCCCATACTGATATTTTCCATGTGCTTACTAGTGACTAGCTTTGTGAGGGGATTCTTGAAGTTCTAGTGAGAAGCCATGACCAATGGAGCTAATCCGTATCGGGTAGAGACAGGTATCTACCTCAATATAGTGGAAGATAGTCACGCGATTTCGTGGATTGGTTGAAGTTAGACATTAACACCGGTTGGATGCCGGCCGACTCAGTGGTTTGGAAGTTAAGCGTTCGCATGCGAGACTGAATACCCTGGGTTTTAATCCCGCATTGAAAGATTTGTTGTGTTGGTGTTAATAATGAAAAATAATTGTGCGTTTAATCTGTGGTGTGTAAATCGTTGACAACTGTCTATTTTGAGATTGATATCAAGGTTAGTATACGACTTATATCTTCTGGAACATTCATACAGTCTATAGTAATCCCTTACAATTTAGTTAATGTTTCTTGAAACTTTGAAATAGACTCAAATCCCTATGATGTATGAATTTATTAAAAGTATTTAGATGGTATGTTCTAATAATTCTAGAATGAGATCACTTCTATTTAGGAGATTTTATGATAATACTATTTATAAGTAGCTAGCAGTGTAATCCAGGACACGCGTCACGTTGTTTTATTTGGGACTCGTCAGCTGATTGATCACTGGATGGTAATCAATGTCATGTATGTCAATGTTTTTCTTAGTACAAACCGAATCCTGTAATGTAGCCATTAGTCTAGATGACTCGTCATTGCGTAAGATGGTGGTTGAAGGTAGTCCACAGGAAACCGTAGGCGTAGGTTTCATGCTACCGGTAATTTTGATGGAATTGATGCTCCCTGACAGATTCGATCCCGTGTCACCCAGCTTCACAGTCAGAGACATTACTAAGAAGCTTACAAACACTTCAGACACCCAAAAACTAAATCATTTTATCTGTATACCTTGAATAGTGATATTAAATGAATACATTTAACTTACCCATGGCATACATAATCTCTTATTACGTTCTAATGCCAAATATTGTAATACACCACGATTACTTCTTATTACTTGTACACCAGTACGTGTATCTCTTGTCCATCTTGTAATACATAATACAAATGAATGATTTGGACCCCAACGTGGTAATAATCCTTTACCTAATAAACCTGTTCTACCCATTGGATTTAATGGTGCACCTGTTGTTGAATCTAAACGATAACGACCAAGTAAACTTTGTCTACGTAATTTAGCTTTAGAATCATATTGATTAAAATTGATTGTACGTAGATTTTCACTATGTTGAAAAGTAAATACGATGTTTCCATGGGTAAAACTAATCATAATAATGTTATCATGAATTATAATGTATAACGTTAATGATACATGTTTAAGTATAGTGTATTCAAATCATTTCAAGAGTTCGATAAGGAATCCATTGAAGAATTCATATGTGGTTTGACGAGATCATCGGTTTGATTGATGAAGAGAAGAAAAGTAATAAGTTGTCTTTAGACACAGATCTATCTGGGTTTTTTTTAATAGAGGTGTTTAATCTTTAATTACAGAGACGATTCATCATGCAGTTATGGGCAATCGTATATGACTAATTATACAAGACATAAAGCATAACAGTATACTCATATTATACTTGATGCGTTAGTAATACAATCATAATATACAACTTCATGAATGATGATTGTGTTAGTCTATGAATGAATTGTATGTATATACAATGAATGATAGGTATCATGCATTTAACAAAAGTCGGATGCGCACTGCTGAGGAGTTCTACAATGGGACGAAACGGCTGTTCAGTGCTTCCATGTTTTCCGTGGTGGTCTAGCTTCAACTGACTCATGATCTTAACCATTGAAATTACTATAATATCCACAAAACCCATCCGATATTAATCAACATATGATCAGCAGTGACTGGCTTCACGAGGTATATCCTGGAGTCCTAGTGAGAAGTAGTGACCAGTGGAGTTCAACCAGGTCTGTTGTGAGATAGTAACTCACTGAAGACAATGGTGGATATGTCGCTCGAGTTCGTGGATTAGTTAAAGTTAGACATTAACACCGTCGGATGCCGGCTCAGTGGCCTAGTGGTTAAGTGCTCGCGCGCGAAATCAGTAGGCCCTTGGTTCAGATCTCGCAGGGTGCGAGGTCGTGAGCGCGCACTGCTGAGGAGTCCCACAATAGGACGAAACGGCCGTCCAGTGCTTCTAGGTTTCCCATGGTGGTCTAGCTTCAACTGACTCATGATCATGAACATTGAAAAGTAAACTTATTGACGTTGGACATCTCAAGGCCAATATTTTGCATGATCTAAGAATACTGATAGTATCCAATTAAACTCTTGGAATTATTCAAAATATAAAAGTAATAGAAGTTTTGATCATCTTGTTTTAAGTTCACTTATAATCTAAGACTGTAATGAATCAATTTTCAATACAAATTTCAAGACAGTTCTAATGTATGGAAGGCGGAAACTTGGAGAACTACAAAAGCCATTATCCATGAGATACAAGTGTTTATAAACAGTTGTCTATGCAAAATACTTCGGATCCGTTGGTCAAACACTATCAGCAAAAAATCTACTGTGGAAGAGGACAAACCAGATCCCAGCAGAGGAAGAAATCAGGAAGAAGTGCTGGAAGTCGATAGAACACACATTGAGGCAAGCACCCAACTACGTCACAAGGCAAGTCCTCACTTGGAACCCTCAAAGCCAAAGGAGGAGAGGGAGAGCAAAGAACATATTACGCCGAGAAATGGAGACAGACCAGATAATAATGAACAACAATAAGATACATCTATGAGGGAAGGCCCAGGATAGATTGGGTTAGAGTATGCTGACCGATGGCCTATTCTCGATTGGGAGTAACAGGCGTAATGAAGTAAAAGTAATCAATGTCTTCAAACTGATACAATATGATCTAGGTACTGAATCGAAATTCGTTTTGTTTTACTATGTAAATTTGATAAACAGTATTACAGTGAACGAAGACTTAGGTGGGTGTTTCATTCATAATTATACAATAGTTTAGCAAAATGTGAATTCATACATCAAATACATCCTTTGCACATCTTGCAGTTGTCCTCTACATCCCTTATGATCCTTTCAATTCTGTTTTGATTCCAGTCCCTTTCTGTTCCCTTCAATTCCTTCATCTCAATATTCTTTTCATCAACATTCTACTTCTGATTGACATTACATGCTACTTACATCTATCAATATAAGTAGCATATAGTACAGTATTACTTTTAATAAACAATATTGATGGATATTTATTTCATTACTTACTTCCTTGATTCTATGAATCACATCATCTCAATAAAAGGAAGGAAAATATGCTTTTAAATTCTGTGTAATATAAGCCTTTGAACTGATACAAAACGATACAAAGATCCACGTGAACTAATATGAATTCATTCTATTTTGTTTTATCTCCATCAGTTGCTTACAACCTATAATTGTGTAATGAAGTAACTGAAAACAGATTAATGATAATAAAGGAAAATATGAGTTGAACTCTGGTTAGCGTCTGGTTAGTTGTCTTCTTAAGATACTCAATATCCGTTGGCCGGCTACCATCAGCAACAATCTACTGTGGAACAGAACAAACCAGCTTCTAGCTGAAGAAGAAATTAGGAAAAGATGATGGGAATGGATAGAACATACATTACGCAAATCATCAATCTGCATCACGAGGCAAGCCCTAATTTGGAATTCTGAAGGGAAACGGAAAAGAGGAAGACCAAAGAATACAGTACATCAGGAAATAGAAGCAGATATGAAAAGGGTGAATAACAACTGGAAAGAGCTGGAAAGGATCGCTCAGGACAGAGTTGGATGAAGAGTGCTGGTGAGCGACCTATGCTCCTCCACAAGGAGTAACAGGCGTAAGTAAGTAAGTAAGTAAATAAGAGTTGAACTTCATCAAACCGAACAAAAATTATGAATTGAAGAAAAATGGCGGTGATGTAACCAAAACTTGTAGAAGATTTGAAACAATGAATGATGTAATAAAAGGGATGTAATGTTACCAGGGTAAAGAATGACTTATTACTACCTCATTTTAGATACATAGATATGATTTTTGACGTTTGATCGCTATAGCTTTGAAGGATTTCAAAAGATTGGAATTTGATTGTTTATTCATTATCTTGAAGGACTTCAATGTATTCATTTGATGTTCTGTATCAAGGAGATGTCTCAAAATGACAATGCTGATTGCTTTTAATCCAATTAAGCTTATGTTCTTTGAATCGAACGTAGGCACTTCTTTCAAATCTACTTATATAACTACTATGGCAGATATATGTGAATTTTTATACGCAGCTATCGCGATCAAAGGTCTAGAATCAGATCTATGTGTCCTAAAAGAACCAGTAATCTGTCTTTGTTTACTCTAGTAAGATTAAACCTACTTTTTACCTATTATATCATTCATTATTTCAAATCTTTCTCAAGTTTTGATTACATCATTATCATTTCTCCTCAATTCATAATTTGGGTTCGCTTTGACTGATTTCAACCCACATCTTTCTTTATTACCGTTAAGCTATGTTTAGTTACTCCATTACAAAATCATCGAGTTGAACAACATGGTAGATAAGATGGATTCACCTAAGAGAAGTTAAGAAACTCTGATTCCAAATCAATAGTGTACATGTTCTCCAAGATCTTGAGGGAACACATGTCTCATAAACCTATTGTTGACTATCGGCTATCATGGAACTACAGCTCTCCACTGCCTTATGAATTAGACCTCTAGGTCAAAGGCTCAAGAAGTGGCCTCCTGAAAAAATCATCTTCGGTTATTACATCCAGACTGTATTCTAGCTCTTAGACACAAATCGAATGACGAAGGGTATCACATATATATATTTGGTACCTTCTTGTACCACTATTTATGTGTTTAAATAAAGATTTGAGATTAAGAAGATTGAAATGAACAGAAGAAGGGGTTTTGTGGAGATTTTAGTAATTTCGATTGTTGAGACCATGAAATTAGATCATCATGGAAAACCTGGAATCACTAGATGACAGTTTCTTCCTAGTATGGGACTCCTCAGCAGTGCACATCCACGACCTACCCCCCTCCTCGCGAGATTCGAACCCAGGACCTAAAATATTAATTCATTCATGATCTCAATCAATAATATAATTCAGTTACATACCATATAAGGATGTTGCTATTATGATAGATAAGTAATGAAAGTATTACATGCTAAAAGAAAACACATCATCATGCTCCATGTATTGTAAAATTATAAAAAGAAAAACCCAGCAGGTTAGTAACTAATTATGCAATAGAAAATGCAATGGAATACAGTACACTTAGATAATCATTAAAACATGCAATGAATGAATGAAGAAGAAAAAACAACTTCAGCCTACTTAACACCGTCATGTGATTCTTCTGATGGGAATAATAAAACTTCTTCACAAGCATCATATGCAAAGTAATCTGGATATTCCACCTATTTATTCAATGAAAGTATATGAATAGTGTATAAATGTACAATTGAAACTATGATATAGAATAGTAATAATCAAGTCAATCATATAATTTTGATTGAGATCATGAACCGATTGATATTAGACCATTGTTGAAGACCTGGAGGCACTGAACGGCCGTGTCACCCTATTGTGGGACACCTCAATAGTGCGTATCCACGATCACGACCGCGGGATTCTAGCCCAGGGCCTTCAGTCTCGCGTGTGAACGCTTAACCTACTGGACCACTGAGCCGACATCCAATGGTGTTAATGTCTAACCTCAACCAATCCACGAATCCCGCGAGCGGGATCGTGGATGCGCACTGCTGAGCGGTCCCACAAAAGGACGAAACGGCCATCCAGTGCTTCCAGGTTTTCTATGGTGGTCTAGCTTCAACTGACTCATGATTTTAACCAGTGAAATTACTATAATATTCACAAAACTCTTCTGATGTTCATGGATTATGTCAAATCCAAAAAGAGACTTAATAGACTGTCCTTTTAATTATAGTGAGTTTATTTACATGAATGATATCATAGAAGATCCAATAAATCTCACAGATCATACATTTTCAAAAGTATTCAAATCATTCGATTCTGAACCCTGCCTACCACCCAGTAGGGAGTTAAGGAAGGACTTTACATTGAAACTGGGTTTTAAATCAGTAATTAGTTGAACTTTTATAACCACAATTAAAAAAGTAATTTTAAGCTACACTGAGACTGAAATAGCATGAAGCGGTTACATTTGTAAGTATGTTTGTACTTCTTAGTAAGTAATGCGCATTCACAATTAGTAGTGACAAATGGTCGTGAAAAAAATAAACACTTAGTATTGTTGGGGAGATACAGAAAAGTCCTCACACCTTTTCTCTTGTGTTCAGATTATGGTTTAGATTAAGTCTGAAGGTTGCTAGAAGAGATTAGGGAACCAAATCTAACGTTCTGTTAAAAGATCTATCACTTATTCAGTTAATGTACATGATAAGCATTCATTCTTATCCCATAATAAACATGAATCGAAATCATCATTATAAGTAAACTGTGATTCCATGGAAAATGTGAAATGTAATTCGAAAGTCATTTGATGTTATTTTACTTGTATCTTCCCATTGTTATTTAGGACTGCAATTGATCAGTCTCTTATTAGCATATGTGCATATTGTGTGTATTGCCTCGACATTGCCTTAATTCACAAGCTTTATAGTAGCTAGCAATGGAATCTAGTTTGAAACGCGTCACTTCGTCCTATTTGGAAATCGTCAGTTAAATGTACCTCCATTTCAGAGTTGATGTCCACTCTAGGACTCGAACCCAGTACCGTTTGCTTCAAACACCATCTCGTTATCCACTTAGCTATTGAGTCTTGATAGCTACCTGCTTTTGCTAACGAGTCCTAAGTCGGACGAAACGTGCGTCTTGGATTCCACTGATAGCCGCTGTCCATGTTTGCTTATGATTCGAAACTTTTCAAAATACTTTACGTCAAATGAATTGATTACGCTTAATAGCTAAACATCATGTGTTTAGTATAATCAAATGAAAGTAACTATTCATCTAGTGAAATACTTACAGTCCATGCCATTCGTTCCGGTGGTACATTCATTCTCATTCCAGGATATTTTTCAAAATTAAATGGAGCCATTCTCCATAATCGATGATCACCTAATGTTCTTTCGATAACTCTTCCAGTTTTAATATCTGGAACTTGAGGTACTATGACTGGATCGGCTGAAGGATCACCACCTTCTTCTGAACCACTTGAATCATCTTCGGATCCAGGAACAACAGCAGCTAATAGAACAGGTGATTCCCTGAAGAAATTACAGAATATGTTAAATATTTAATACATGATATAAACTAAAATAAAAGTCAGCCTTGGTTGACTATGGTTAGCCTAATAATCAATCTGTTTTTTACCGTATTAATTGATCAGTATTTGGCTGGTTTTATGGACGATAAATGAGATATAGCTAGTCATATGATCACACCAGTTACTAGATTGCCCTAAGTTGTGAATAAATTAATCCTCATGTACTTAAGATGCCCAACTTCAAGACCAACAATTTGGATTCCTTGAATATATATTGTGTACAGACCAAATCACAACACTACAGATCATTGTGGAACAATCAGTTAGATGGAATTCATCATTCTACATCAACTTCATTGACTACGAGAAGGCATTTGATAGCGTGGACAGGGCAATATTATGGAGGCTTTTCAACACTATGGCGTGCCTGAGAAAATATTCAATATCATACGGAATCCCTATGATGAATTAAGTTGCAAAATCGTGAATGGAGGACAGTTGACAGACCCGTTCGAAGTAAAGACCGGTGTCAGGCAAGTGTTCATCACAGCAGATACAAATGATTTCAAGTGGGACTCCTCATGATTATTGTTTGTTAGTCTTTAATAGGATGAATGATCATCCATTATCAACTTGTTTACTAATAAAGACACAAACAAATGAAATTTTTGTTCTGTTTTTATTAGCAAGACTATAATTTATTGACGAACCAATCAGATTTAGGACAATAGATCTTGGATTTTAGCGCGAAATTCATTCCTACATTTGACTAAATAGTCTTAATTCAATAAAGTCATATACATGTACATAAAAACACACTCACCTTGGGGGTGGAGGAGGTGGTGGCGGTGGTGGTGGTGGTGTTGGTGGTCGTAGTACATCTTTAGCTGCTTCTAATGCAGATTGAATAGCTACTTCTAGTTTTGTACGTTTTCTAGTTTCTGCTGTTCCTGAATCAGCTTGAGTTGTAGTGGATTTTTGTACAGGAACAACCTCATCAGTGAATTCATTACATTGACAAGTAGGAAGTTCATTTATTTGTCGAATAATCTAGAAAATGATACAGAACTCAGTTTGTTAAAAAAATCCATCGAGATAATAGTATTATTTCATTAAATACGTCTCAATCATTTATCATCTCTGTGTAATAGTGATAAGCTGTCATCGAAACCATCGTTATCTACATGTGGGCTTATAGTCACAGTGACGGTTATGTTAGATTAACCACTCTCCATTGATGATTTTGTCTGATTCATATTGATTGTTAGGATATATACATCTCACCCGCATATTCCATGATACGGCCGAGAGTGGAAAGAGTTATCTCTCCCTCTCCAAATGCTCTCATATAGCCACACGCATACAGCCACTGTCAGGGAAGTCCTGCACACTGACTTATTGCAGATAGGGTATTGGTTGCGAAAATGAGAGGACGAAAATCGAATGTTCGGAGCTTTAAACGGGTTGATGGATATGGAGGATCCACCTGGAAAAATGGGAAACTCTAATTCCAAACAAATGGTGCACATGGGATCCAGGATCCCGAGGGAACAAATGGCGTATGAACCAATTATTGGTCACCGGCTATTATGGGACTGCATCTTCTGATGTTGCTCCACTGTTTTGTGGATCAAACCTTTAGGTCGAAAGCTCCGCGTCTGACCCTCTAATAAAACCACCTGCTTCGGTCTGGGCACCCGGGTAGTATCACAGCTCACACATAAATCAAGTAAATTATGTGGCGCAAATATATCATGTGACAATATATCATGCATTTTAACGGTTAATAAATGTTTGTATTTGCATGAAAATAAGTATCATCCCACTTTGTTTGTTGTAGAACTATTTACAGTTTTTATTTATTCTCCAACTTTATGTCTTTCGCTAAGTATTAGTTACTGTGAATAACACGAGTTCAAAAAAATACTTCAACACTACTACTGTGATATGTGCTATCAATGTCGACAGATATAAGTAGTATGTTTGACCAATCAAAAGTGAAATGCCTGGTGGCAGAAAGTTAAGTTCGAAGAAATGAGAACGAGAGCAGTGAATGTCTGATGTGGAAACAAAGGAACAATCAAGTTTGAGACAACTAATTGAAGTAATGATTACCAGATTCTACCAAGATATTCTGTAATGTTTTCTTAAAATACACTTGATTGTTCCCACTTGTGCTTTACCCATTTAAGTGGAGTTTTATTCACGGAGGTAGACACTTTGGTCCTGAAGTTTTGATTATCCTTCCTCTGAGTAACATCATCAGTACAATGTTGTTCAGAAGAATAATGAAAGGTAATGTTATATCCCGATAAGAATAATGAATGATTCATATCGCAGAGGCTGTGATTGGTGTTCTGGACTTAACTGACTGTGCTAGACTAGGACTCTAGGCTGCTCGCACGTGTTTCATGCGTCACTGGTTCAATCGACAATTCACTGCTCTCTGATTGGCGGTCTCATTGCGTTATACAATAAACAGAACACACAGGTTCACGAGTTATAACAGCTAACAATTGTCAACCTACTCGTTGTTGTGTTTCAGTCACATTACTGATTACTTCAGATAAATTTGTTAATAATTGTGTTACATCATTCAAACGTGAATCAACATCATTAAAACGTTGAAATTGATTATCAATCTCTTTGAAACGTTTTTCTAACTCCATTCCAATACCCTGGGAGAAATAGAATAATACAAGAAAAACAACAATGATAATGTTATTATTGGAAGAGAAGAACCCAATCAATTATAAAAGAGGCCAACCACCTTTCGCCTACCTTGTTAACAATGATGCGCTTACTAATCGCTAGTTTAAGATAGATTTCTCAAAGCCCTATTATGATATTATTCCTGATGTAATATAACTAACTGTATTAAGAATGAGCTATTTATTCACTAATGACATAGATTAGTTATGGTATTGGATCGTGAATTAGCAGAAGTTGGAAGTATAAACCATTGGATACTGCAATAGCTGTTAACAAACATCTAATTAGTCATAATATCAATAAGTCGATAGTCCGATTTTGTGTGTCAGCATTGATGAGTAGTTTGCAATTATGAAAAACAAGAAGTATCCAATGTTCTATGCCTTTAAGTGTTATCTGAACTTACATTCAAAATAGAAAACTTGTACAAACACCATAATCATAATGATCAAAACTAGGGTTCAAGAAGAAGGTTCTGAGATTTCTGTCATTTCTGACAGAAAAGTAACGAAAGCTTTATAGTTAAATCATCTGTTTCAGACGAAGCATCATTCACAGAAAGATAGCAGTTTAATAAAGATTACAAATAGATTGAATTATTTAACTCTATGTATCGCAAGTGAATACAAGTCACCATAGTAGACTAATGTAATATGTGACAAAACTGGAGGTTTAACTGGTTTTAAACTAATAAAATTGTTTGCTTTTATTAAATCCGCTAAAACGGAATAGTATATACTGGTACACTCTAGTTATATTGTCAAGCATGCTGGTCATATGTTTAAAATATCCCTGATTTCATTTCAGCTAGTCAACATACGTTCATATTGTTCACTGATATTCTAGACAAATTTAGATTATCATTGAATAGCATCAATATTACCTCTGTAACACTGGACATTTCACTTTTTAAATCCATTACTGGTCCTTGACCAGGACAAACACCTCCACCACCACGAAATACCACAGCACGTGATTCAGCCACACCTCTTTTCCCAGTTGCTTTGGTTGATGGTTCTCTTAAATAATCCATAGCTTTCATATGCTTCCATTTGACCATTTCTCGTTCTTTTTCACATCGGTAAATCGTACACCTTAATAAGTAAAACAAATGTGAGATAAGCATATCAATGTGTAAAGGATAGTGAAGTTCAAGGTACCGATTCCCCGAAATGAGATGGAAGACAACAAACAAATAGAGAATGTGAAAAAACCTAATAAAATAGTTTGTTAATTCATAACCGTCCAAAGAAGGAACACAACTTTCATTAATTTCTTCTGAATTCAAAAACTTAGGATCATAGGTTCTGAACCTCATCACTTCCGCTATATGTAGGAGATTGAAAATGACGAAGGTATATAATACATCGCTTGGAATGATCATAGACAATATCGCTAACTAAATACTCGTTGAATGATATTTTGGAGAAATAGAACTTTGTTATTAGCGGTCAACATCCGAAACTTGGTTTTTTTCATGTTTACGTATATTTCTTTAAAAAACGTCTCAAGCAGTTCATCTCTATCAGTATGCTACTGATAAACTACTACTCATTTAAAGCATCCATTGAGCAGATTATTTTAGCTCTACACATTAAACATGTAACCGGATTTCTTATGTAATGGATGTGTGTCGACAAACCAACGATCTCATTCTAAATAGGCTTCTACTTAAACGAGCTATCATCTTGTAACTGTTAAGAACCAGTTAAAATACATGCTGACTTAATGAATAAAGGGATCGTATACATCGAATTCACATGACAATTCAAAGCTACACATAAATAAGTATCATAATTTACATTGATAACCAGAATTGTTAAAAAAATAAACAGATTGATTTACAAAATGGATTATATTTTGCTGTTTCAGCATTTCTTAAACTTGCGCATTGATTTCCAATAGCTTTATATGCTTCATAGAAATGCCAAACAATAATAATTGGTGGAGCAAGTGGTGATCTATGAACATAATCATTGATCATTTGATATCTTTGATAATTCCAATAGTATGTTGATGCACTCTCTATTTCTTCGTAGGTTTTACTGGAAAAAAATATCAGTTAAAATGTAGGCTACTTATATTTAAAACAGTAGTTCATCTTATAAATAAAAATAAAGAGAAACAGTGTGTCTTATTTTCCACATTAATTTACAATAAATTGAAATCAGTGATAGTTTAATGAGAAAATCTTCAGGTTAACTCTATGAGATTCTTGGTATTAAAACTGAAGATCTCTGTACGATGGTATAGTTTTAATATCATATTCACACCCATATTAATAAACTTGAAGATGCCACAGGTATTTGGAGTTGGACAACACTTTAACCAGTAACACCTTCTACTATGCATCGTATCCACCAAGTGAAATCAAAAGACAGAAGCTAGGAAGTTCAAAGATATATTTGATAATCTATCAATATATCGTGGATCGACTGATCTAATCTGGCTACCGATTTCAGGGGATGTTGAGCACGGCGTTCCCACTCGTGATCTGCTGTGGATGCATAACTGAGCGCCTTCAACATGCTGAGTCCATTCAAACTAATGTGGTCAGCATCTAATGTCGAAGACTTACAGAGCTATTTATCTGTGAGATTTATTTACCGTTACAAACTTATTAAATCGACCTATCACTTTATGGTCACCAAATCAAAATGTCAAATTGAAATCTTATTAAAAGTGACTTCAGATAGCTGAATGTATTTTTCTGTATCAAACATCTTATAGTTTTGAATGAAAAATTCTCAATAACATTTCTATGAAACCAACAATAAAAGATTAAAAGGCGAGACTATAACTTATGGATGAACTAATCAAGTATGAGATTTTTGTGCAAAGTTAACTCATCCATTTGATTAAATAGAGTTTTGGCATTATAGCCAACGTTAGTTTATGATGAAAACCTTAAGTCTAATTCCTAACCCTTAACCATCAACTGTAAGTCATAATTTAAATTCTTCACGCTGATTTATAACCCTTATTTGGTTCCGGTTATTAGGTAGACACTCTCAATGTCCAGGTTAGATGGTGGTTGGAGGTAGTCAACCGGAAACTATGGACTCAGGTTTCGTACTACTTAGCACTCGTCAGCAAGGTGTACCTGTAATCTTGAGGGCACTGGTGCTCCCTAGCGGATTCGACCTCGCGTCACCCAGCTACACAGTCAGAGACGTCACCACTGAGCTGTCCGAGCCGCGACCGACCTCTTGTAGGACTGAGATATAATCACAATTGATTGATCACTGGGTGGTGCTCAATATCATGCTTGTCTAGTCCTTATTAGTGCAGATCGAATGCTATTGACACGCATGACATTGATCGCCACCCAGTGATCAATCAGTTGTAACTCTCAATGTCAGTTTAGCATCGTTCAAAGGTCGTCCGTAAATAATAGTCTCATCGAGTGAAACATTATTTCTTTTTTTTCAAAAATAGTTACAGAAACTATGACACAGACAGAACTTGTTCAGTTCAACGTGCAGACCAATGAATATATAACTCTCCCAGTACACTCAACTTATTAATTTCTTTGTCTAAACATATAAAGATTGATACAAGGAGGTATCGAATACATAAATGCCACATATCGTCATTCGATTTGTGTGAGAGCTGGAATACTGACTGGCCACCTAAACCGAAGTAAGTTGCTATCCTAGCAGGCCACTCTCCGAGTCTTTGACATACAATTCTAATTTATAAGGCAGTGGAGCAACGCAAATTGAAGGATGAAGACATGTACGTACAAATGAAACGACTGGAATTTATAAAAATAGTATTTACTCATAATATCTGAATCTCAATCGTTATATAACTCTTAATTAGTGGTGGTTAAACAAACTCTTGTAATATAGTAACCTGATAAAATTGTAATGGAACTCAAAACATCTGTCAGCCAACATCAAGGTTCGAATCTTTGATACGAACGTCAAGACAGTTCTACTATATGGAGCTGAAATTGAGGGCGGACATCAAAAGGATGAATAGTAATTGTAGACAACTGGAAAGAATTGTCCAAGACATAGTTTGATGGAGATTCCAGGTGGACAGTCTATGCTCTTCCACGAGGGGTAACAGATATAAGTCAGTAAGCAAGTAAGTAAACTAATAACAAGTTGTAATGATTACACTTACGAAAACATGGCAATAAGTAAGTTGAACATCAGTATATTAGTTAATAACACATAGAATCCAAGCATAATAGGTACAAGCCAACGTGATGTTTTCGTAGGGCACATATGATTTTGACATGTTCGATCTATTCAATGAATAAAAAAAGTGGAAATTATTCCACTGTATTATTACTAGTACTAATAATAACAAAATAATGAGGAGGTTGGCTAGAAACTATTAACTATTACACTCATGGAATGTATGTTGTTCTAGCTACTTTCCGAACAGATTAGATCATTATAGATTCTTTAGACTGGCAAGTCATAACTACACAGAAATGTACATTTACAGTTCAATTGACAGCTGGTAAGCTATTTAAGTTGACTGCTGTCAAAATAATACATGGTATTGTAGAACATCTGAAGAACTTCATTGCATATCAGGACTTATCTGTCAGTTTTCCAATATGAATATATTAACCTGTATTTGGAGTAGTACCCAATATAGTGGCGAAGATTTGTAGCTCAGGTGGATGATTCTAATGGAGTTTTTCTCTGAGCTGGATGGTTTGGTTGTGCAGCTTTCGTCTTCCTTCCAAAAGACATCACCAGAACTAACTTCAAGTAGAAGTCTATCTGATTCACCATTAAGAAGGTTAGATGTAAAGTGAATAATTCAATGAATAGAATTTTCTATTAGACGACTTCATTTATGTAAGCTGTACAATCGTATATGTATGTACATGTATATGATCCCTTTATTCATTAAGTCAGTATGTATTTTACTGGTTCTTAACAGTTACAAGATGATAGCTCGTTTAAGTAGAAGCCTATTTAGAATGAGATCGTTGGTTTGTCGACACACATCCATTACATAAGAAATCTGGTTACACGTTTAATGTGTAGAGCTAAAATAATCTGCTCAATGGATGCTTTAAATGAGTAGTAGTTTATCAGTAGCAGTTTTACTTATTTGTGTCTTTATTCCTAAACAAGTTGAGAGTAGATGATAATTCATTCATCCTATTAAAGACTAACAAACAACAATCATGAGGAGTCCCACTTGAAATCATCTGTATCTGCTGTGATGAACACTTGCCTAACACCGGTCTTTACTTCGAATGGGTCTGTCAACTGTCCTCCATTCAAGATTTTGCAGCCTAATTCATCATAGGAATTCCGTATGATATTGACTATTTTCTCAGGCGCGCTCTAGTGTCAAAAAGCCTCCATAATATTGACTTGTCCACGCTATCAAATGCCTTCTCGTAGTCGATGAATTCGATGTAGAATGATGAATTCCATCTAATTGATTGTTCCACAATGATCTGTAGTGTTGCGATTTGGTCTGTACACAATCGATCTTTAAGGAATCCTGTTTGTTGGTCTTGAAGTTGAGCATCTTGAGTACATAAGGATTAATTTATTCACAACTTAGGGCAATCCAGTAACTGGTGTGATCATATGACTAGCTATATCTCATTTATCGTCCATAAAACCAGCCAAATACTGATCAATTAATACAGTAAAAAACAGATTAGTTTTTAGGCTAACCATAGTCAACCAAGGCTGACTTTTATTTTAGTTTATATCATGTATTAAATATTTAACATATTCTGTAATTTCTTCAGGGAATCACCTGTTCTATTAGCTGCTGTTGTTCCTGGATCCGAAGATGATTCAAGTGGTTCAGAAGAAGGTGGTGATCCTTCAGCTGATCCAGTCATAGTACCTCAAGTTCCAGATATTAAAACTGGAAGAGTTATCGAAAGAACATTAGGTGATCATCGATTATGGAGAATGGCTCTATTTAATTTTGAAAAATATCCTGGAATGAGAATGAATGTACCACCGGAACGAATGACATGGACTGTAAGTATTTCACTAGATGAATAGTTACTTTCATTTGATTATACTAAACACATGATGTTTAACTATTAAGCTTAATCAATTCATTTGACGAAAAGTATTTTGAAAAGTTTCGAATCATAAGCAAACATGGACAGTGGCTATCAGTAGAATCCAAGACGCACGTTTTGTCCTACTTAGGACTCGTTAGCAAAAGCAGGTAGCTATCAAGACCTAATAGCTGGGTGGATAACGAGATGGTGTTTGAAGCAAACGGTACTGGGTTCGAGTCCCAGAGTTGATATCAACTCTGAGATGCAGGTACATCTAACTGACGATTTCCAAATAGGACGAAGTGACGCACTTCAAACTAGATTTCACTGCTAACCACTATAAAGCTTGTGAATTAAGGCAATATAGAGGCAATACTTACAGTATGCACATATGCCAATAAGAGACTGATCAACTGCAGTCCTTAATAACAATGGGAAGATACAAGTAAAACAACACCAAATGATTTTCGAATTATATTTCACACTTCTCATGGAATCACAGTTTACTTATTATGATGACTGTATTCACTTATTATATGGTCACGTTTTGGTTACTTTGAGGACATTTTTTTTATCCTTGTTTATTGTGGGATATGAATGAATGTTCATCATGTACATTAACTGGATAAGTGATAGATCTTTTAACAGAACGTTAGATTTGTTTCCCTAATCTCTTCTAGCAACCTTCAGACTTAATCTTAACCACAATCTGAACACGAGAGAAAAGGTGTGAGGACGTTTCTGGATCTCCCCAACAATACTAAGTGTTTATTTGTTTTCACGACCATTTGTCACTACTAATTGTGAATGCGCATTACTTACTAAGAAGTACAAACATACTTACAAATGTAACCGCTTCATGCTATTTCAGTCTCAGTGAAGCTTAAATTTATTTCTTAATTGTGGTTATAAAAGTTCAACTAATTACTGATTTAAAACCAAGTTTCAATGTAAAGTCCTTCTTTAACTCCCTACTGGGTGGTAGGCAGGTTTCAGAATCGAATGATTTGAATACTTTTGAAAATGTATGATCTGTGAGGTTTATTGGATCTTCTATGATATCATTCATGTAAATAAACTCACTATAATTAAAAGGACAGTCTATTAAGTCTCTTTTTAGATTAAACATAATCCATGAATGTCAGATGGGTTTCGTGGATATTATAATAATTTCAATAATTAAGATCATAAACCGATTGATGTTAGGCCATCATGAAAAACCTGGAAGTACTGGACGGCCGTTTCGTTCTATTGTGGGACTCCTCAGCAGTGCGCATCCACGGTCCCGCTCGCGGGATTCATGGATTGGTTGAGGTTAGACACTAGAAAACCCACATGTCGATAAATATATATATATCATGTGGACTACTTATAAGTAGTTCATTTAAGAAAAACAAATGTCGTTCAATTCGGACCACATCCTCAATAGTTCAGAAGTGAGAGTGAATAAACAAATAGAAATACTATCATTGAGGAATATGTTGATTCCCAATAGGGTTTCAACTAGAGTTTCAAATGAAGTACAAACCTGTTGTTCAAAAAAGTAAGTTTGGGGATAGGGGCAATAAAACTTCAGAAGGACTGACTACTCGAGCCTCAAAACATTTACCACCATGCCTTTATCACAAAAGCCGCAGCAAATACTAATAATAGTCTTAATCAAAAGTACAAAACTTGTCTCATCAGGCGTTTCCCAGCATTAATTCTCTCTAGAACGTAATATGTTTGTTCGAAAATAAACTACCATCTTTTAACAGCCAGTAAATGCAACCCAACTTAAATCAAGGTGAATTATTCACAAGATCAGTTCATCATATATGGCACATGCCTCTTAAAGTATATTCTAGGGAGCAACTATGCTAGAAACTGAGGTTTATCTCCTCGAGTTTTTCAGTAATTAGAACAGCATTTAGTCGTAAGTCATTCATAAAATGAATGCGACGCTGATAAGTTATAACTAGGCGAATTTTGAGATTTAATAGACATGTAGCGGTAAGTAAATCCCCAAAATAAATAGATCCGTAAGTTTTTGACATTGGATGCTGACCACATTAGCTTCACTGGACTCACCTAGCTGAAGGCGTTCGGTCATGCATCCGAACCAGATCACGAGTGGGAACGCCGTATTCAACAACCCATGCAATCCCCAGCCAGATTAGATCAGACGATTCTCGATATATTGATAGCTTCTCAAATATATCTTAGAACCTCTTTGCTTCTGTCTTTTGATTTCACTTGGTGGATACGATTCATATTAGAAGATGTTACGGAATAAAGCGTTGTCAAACTCCGAATAAATGTGGCATCTTCAGACAAATGTATGAATCTGCTCAATACGTAGGTCCTTCCAACCTAATGTATCACTAGCGCGATGTTTGAGAGGCATTTTTATACATTCAAATGTGAACTATTGCTAAAAGATCGGTTTGTAACAACGTGTATAATGACAATAAGGAGTAAAGTAATTGAATGAGTCTATCAATCATCTTGTATACTTTTCAATTTCCCGTCCATGATCAGTGAAATAAACAGAGTGATAATAATAGGTCTGTAATTATCAGCATTCACTCTGTCCATGGTAATATAATCAGATACATAATCAAACAATATAAGACAACTTCAGCTAGAAGTGCATTTCAAATTAGGACAGATCTTAATGAGAAATATTGAAATCATACCAGTGTGTTCATAAACAATTCACGATAAACTTACTAACTAACTAATTTATTACTTACTTACTTACTTACTTACTTACTTACTTACTTACTTACTTACTTACTTACTTACTTACTTACTTACTTACTTACTTACTTACTTACTTACTTACTTACTTACTTACTTACTTACTTACTTACTTACTTACGCCTGTTACTCCTCATGAAGGAGCATAGGCCGCCCACCAGCATTCTCCATCCAAACCTGTCCTGGGCAATCCTTTCTAGCTCCGTCCAGTTGTAATCCATCGTTTTCATATCTGCTTCTATTATCCGACGCAATGTGTTCTTTGACCTTCCTCTTTTCCGCTTCCCTTCAGGATTTCCAAGCTAGGGCTTGCCTCGTGATGTAGTTTGATGATTTGCGTAATGTATGTCCTATCCATTTCCATCGTCTTTTCCTAATTTCTTCTTCATCTGGAAGTTGGTTTGTTCTCTCCCACAGAAGGCTGTTGTTGATGGTATCCGGCCAATGGATGTTGAGTATCTTGCGTAGACAACCATTTATAAATACTTGTACATTCTTGTTGGTGGTCGTTGTAGTTCTCCAAGTTTCAGCTCCGTACATACAGTAGAACTGCCTTGACGTTCGTATTGAAGATTTCCACTTTGATATTGATTGAAAGTTGTTTCGAGTTCCATATATTCTTCAAATGTAGGAATGCTGTCCTTGCTTTACCAATCCTCGCCTTTACGTCTGCATGTGAACCTTCTTGTCCATTGATGATGCTTCCCAGGTATGTGAAGGATTCGACATCTTCCAAAGTTTCGTCATCAAGAGTGATTGGATTGCTATTCTCCGTTTTGAATTTGAGGACCTTGGTTTTCCGTTTGTGTATGCTAATTTACGATAAACACTTGATGGGAAAGAGAGATCTTACACAATATACAAATGCATTTATCATATTTCACATGTTCTATTCACAACTTAGTTACATGAAACCAAATAAACATGATCTTTTTCGTGTCCTTAAAGTCTAACAATATGAATGTGTATTGCTTATTAAAGTACGTGTACTATTATAAATGATTATATTTCCACCAGTATATCATTAATTTCCAAGGTGAATGAAAGTTTAATTGAAAGTGAGAACACTGTTTAATTTCATGGACATTAGTACATATGTACACTTTTTATGTGTCCTCATTTACTATCCCTTTTGTGATTCACCATTAGATATAATCACCGAGAACGTAAATATTCCATAGAAACATTGGTAGTATAGAATTTGATAACATAACTAATACAATTCAAAATGGTTCAGTATACTGATTTAACTAAACTACAATTAGTTAAATAATTGAAGTTGTATATCGTGATCTACATCTTGTCTACTTTCATATTCCATTTAGTGGAGAGTCGAAAGATAATTCTGCAAGCGAAACCAAGTGAGTAGACCACCGTCTAGTGTTTTCAAGTTTTCCATGATGTTCTAAACGGTATTCAATCGACATATGATCTCAACTATTGAAATGTTTATAATATTGATATATTTTCTTTGTTTTATTCAGGATACAGTCACTCTTTTCTTGGCAAATGAAGATTTTACTGCAGTTAATGAGGATGGTCGATGTGATGGACATTTTGTCCGTATTCCATTATTACATAGACATTGTACTTACTTATCGTCGATTCATTACAATACGTTATGCATGTTATGTGAAAATACGATAAATATAACTGATATCATTCCTTAATTGTAACTATCATACTATTCCAGGGAATTTCAACATGGAATTACTGCTCAATGTTAACTCATCGCCATTTCACTTACCATCACTTCGTTCATATAGAATTAGCAGGATAGTCTGTGGAATTATGATCCACTATGACACTGGTACTGCTTCAATAATAGACCTGATTGTAAAATCGTGAATTTGTAATGATGTATCTGCCTAATCTAGAAGATATTACATGAAAGTCACATCATTGTCTACACCAACTCATTGCATCGTAACAAGTACCATGGAGAACAAACTTAGACTAGAGAGATAGAACAATATATTTAATATGAATAAAAGATTATGTTACAACAGTTAAGGTTGGCCACACCTGCAAGGCTGAGCCATGCCGTCCGTTCAATTTGAATTCACTCTATTCATTCTTCCCTTCTTCATAGTTGGGTTTTTCTTCGTGTTAAATGTTGAATAGCTATTTGACATATTATCTCGTATTAGGGCCAAATGTCACTACGAGTCCAACATACAAGTTCATTCAACTATATTCAACTATGTGACATGTGTTTTGATTGAAATATAAGAGTCCTTATTCAATGAACTTCGTTGAACTACACTCACCTCACTTGAATTTCATTGAACTGATTTATAGATTGAGTAGGTCAAAGTATGGAAATGAAGCTCATATGAAACTTTGTCAAGATAGAAATGAACCAATTCACCATGTTTGTGTTTATCTCATGTATTTCACGTAACTGAATCCTGTTAAGAACTTTGAATTGTTCACGTTCAACTGACTGGTGTTGAATGAAGAGGAATAAGGTTTATGCAAATTGAAGAGATTTCAGTGAAGGAAGCGTTTTTCACGTGTGACTCATTTGTGAAAGCCATACAGTCATAATTAAAGTAGTTCTATGCATAAGAGTCTATCAAGCATTGGTGATATTTGTCTAAGTAAATAAAGAAGTAAGCAAAAGATAGCAAGAATCAGTTGTTTGTCGGCAGTCGACATATGAATAATGTGTTAAAGGCATTCAAGACATTTTTTAATGGCAACGCCAACATACAATTTGTCAAAAGAAATTTCACGAATACTGAGACATCTAGTAGATTCAGCCAATCACTCCATCAAATCCCCAACACAATTCCTGGACCAAATTAAGGATATTCAAATCAACAACGACGAACTCATGATATTCTTCGACGTAACAGCACTGTTCACCTCAATTGAACCACAGCTAGCAAAAGAAACTATATCCCTGCTACTCAACAACGACACAAATCTTACCAAATACACGACGCTTCAAATTAAAAGTACACTGGAACTCATCGATTTATGCCTAACAACATATTTTCAATTCAACAACAAAATCTACGAACAAACAAAAAGGACACCAATGGGATCACCAATATCAGGACTGATCGCAGAAGCAGTGATGAAAGACTAGAAGCCACGATATTACCAGTGATCAAACCAAAAATTTGGATTCGCTACGTAGACGACACCTTTGTCATCGTCAAAAAGGATGAACTGGAAAACACATACAAACTGATCAACAACGTTTTCAACGACATCAAGTTTAGAATGGATCAGGAGTCAAACAACCAACTAGCATTCTTGGATATATTGATCACTAGAACCGATACAGGAAAACTGGAAACTCAAGTATATAGGAAACCGACCCATACAGATCAAATCCTCAATTACAACAGCAACCCAAGAGCTCACAAAATCAACTGCGTACACACTTTGTTCAAGAGGGCGAGGACACACTGCAACACACTGGCAGCACGAAAAAATGAAGAGAAATACCTGAAGGATATATTTCAAAAGAACGACTACCCAATCAACTTCATCAAAAAGCGCCAACGGCACACAGCATTAGAACCCAAATCAAGCACAAAAATCAACAAAAGGATCGCTCTACCGTGCATACAAGGAATATCAGAAACCACAACGAGACTGCTGAAAACCTTCGGGATAGGTGTGGCACACAAATCAACGAAATCATTATAATCAATCCTATGCAAACCAAAAGATGAAATAACAAAGGAAAACAAATCAAACATCATCTGCAAAATAAATTGTACCAACTGCGACAAACACTACATCGGACAGAGCGGACGCCCCCTCCACCTACGCCTACATGAACACCAATTAGCAGTCAAACGCCATGATATCTCTTCACTTATATTAATACACGTGGATAACTACGGACATTCATTCGATTGGGAAAATATAGAAATCTTAGACAAAGGAAACTCCAAAAACACCAGGGAATTTTTAGAAGCTTGGCACTCAGGTCAATCAGCAATCAACAAACATATTGAAATCAATCCAATCTATCAGCCAATCAGGAAAATCATGCATAAATATAGGAACAAAAATCAAACCAATGGGAGACACAACCAAAACGAGGAAGTAAACAATGATAAATTTAAAGTCAACAAGAACCAATCAACATCGAGGTGCACAGAACAAGCTGTGAAACACATATGGAGAAATTCGAACACTTCACTTCTATCTGAAGTTTGTGCTGATGATGTTGTTCAGAAGAACGATGAAAGCTCCACGACCAAACCATCCAGCTCAGAGAACAAAACACCACCTAAAAGTTTTACTTATTCTTCATATAATCATCATCCCTTAGCAGTCTAATTAACACTGTGAAGTATATATTTACTTACGTTGCTTACCTTCATCATATAACTAAAATAATAATCTGAGTTTAGCATTGTGTTTATTCAGATAGTTGATGGACGAAGTTGTGATCAGCTTCCCTGAAGAATTTGGTGATTTAATCTTCACGTCGGATGAGTCAGTTGTATCTCTCGATGCGTTTTACTTTGAGTACACATATGGTAAACAGTTCGGTATTAACTGCTTTCTTATTTCTAACGGTCATATGATTCATCAATTTAATACAATTTACATTCCTTTCAACATACTCATGCGATTCACAACGTGGAGGCAAATCGAAATCTTTGTTTTACCATAATATGATTGAAATCACATGTTGTAGATTGAATATACAATGCTGTTTTGATAAGTCAAGTGTGATCCTACAATTCAGCATTTGACAAATTAGCAAAGTCTAACATTGAATTTGAGGTAGGCACTGATTGACTGACTTACTATCTTGAATCATGATGTAAGATTAAGTGCAAACATCATAACAAAAGTCAATTACTAATGATCCAACGTACTCTGATAACTTTTATTAAATAAATCCCAGTCGTGTAAGAAATTAGAAGACAATATTAAGAGCCCAGTACAGTTTATTACTGGATATTTCAGATAACAATGCGACAAGCGCATAGTGAATTCAAAAAGAAAGACTAATGAGCGCGAGTAAGTGAATAATAGTGTAGAATTTTGATTTGGATTAACTAATATGATTCAAGAACATATATGGGAAAGCGACTGAGTCACAGAGAGATATTTAAGCAACAGTCAGTCAGTCAGCTACAACGTAGGACCAAGCACATATATGCATCGGTCGAGGTTGCCACACCTCATTAGCACAACAAAATTAACACCAAATTCATAGGGCTAGTTACTTCAATGGTAGTAATATATAAAAGAAAGATTGTGTATAAGGATATAATGCAAGAAGAAAGAAGAGCGGTAAGACTAAAAGCAACAAACCTAAGGTCTGAAGGCGAAGTCGTACTGCTGACTGTACAGAGGTGTGACAGCAGTGAGGTGTTTCCTTCAGACAAACAGCATAACAGCGATGCTGCCTTCCCACAAGGAGGGGTGGGGTTAGAAAAGGTCGACCCTAAAAATGCACACCTCGCCTTATCCCACGGATATCCGTCTCCGGTGGTAAGGTCTCAACAAGTACGGATCTAACACAAAAATTACCCATTATAAGGTCGTGTGTGACCGACCTCAAGCAGTTGTCCCTTGGGCACTGCGGTCACACTCTCAGGTCACTAAGACCACCTCTAATTCAATTTCTTTTTCAGGTACCTCCAGAAGAACCCTTCCACGGTGTAGGCAACCGGGAAGTGATAACCGCCCCCATACCTCTAACAGCACTCAAGACCACTGTATTCATAATCAACCTCCCACTTCAATTCCCATATTTAAGCAATTATCATTTAAGATAAAATACGGAATGTGTGTATAGGATATTACATATGATCAAGTATAAATTTCCATACAGACATCATTCTAATAATAATAGTAGTGAATTGGTTGAAGTTAAACATTAACACCATTGGCTGTTGACTTAGTGATGAATCCTGGGTTCGAATCCCGTGAGGCGGGATTGTGGATGCGAAATGTTGAGGAACCCCATGCTAGGACAAAACGGCCATCTAGTGCTTCCAGGTTTTCTATGATGATCTCGCTTCAATTGACTCATGAATTCAACTATTAAAACTGAATACTATTCTCTCGAACATTCTGTACATGATTTATTTAGAAAACTTTAAATAACATTCCTGTGTTTATAGGATCATTTATATGTTGCACATGGTAATTATCTTACATCCTTTATCATTTTGTATATATTGCAATTTAGATTAGATGGTGGTTGGAGGTAGTCAACAGGAAACCCTGGACCCGGGTTTCGTGCTACTTGGCACTCGTCAGCAAGGTGTACCTGTAATCTTGAGGGAACTGGTGCTCCCTCAATACATAGTGCCCGCAGTGTCGAGTCACCTAGACTGGTGGCCACATTGCAACATGATCGATAGCATTCGATCTGCACTAATAAGGACTAGACAAGCATGAGATTGATCACCACCCAGTGATCAATCAATTGTGATTGCAATTTAGGTTTGATTAAAGATGGAACAACTATTGGCTGAATAACTTGGTTGTAATATTTGTTTAAGTAATGATGCATATTACAATATCTTATGTATGATCGTGAGTATGAGTAATACAAAACTTTCAACTGGAAGAAACATAAATTCACTTGCTATTGTTCACTTGTATCTTCTCATTGTTGTTAAGGTCCACAATTGATAAGTCTCTTGTTGGTATATGTTCATCATATGTGGACTGC